GCTCCTGGGGGGGGTAATCAGTACGAAAAAGAAAAAAAAATAAGTAATATAAATTAAAAGAAAAAAAAAAAAAAAAGCTGCCCCCCCGCCCACTGCAGCGGGCGGAGGGCAGGCATGTGGCAGGCGGTGGGCGGGTGTGCAGCAGGCAAGTGTGTGGTGTCGCGTTGTGGTGTCCTGGCGGTCAGGGGTACGCCGTCGCTGCATCGTTCGTCTTCTGGCAGTCGTCGTGGCCTGCTGCAGCGGGCGGTGGACGCGTGTGGAGTGGGCAGCGGGCGCGCGTGTGGTGGGTGGTCTCCTGGCGGTGGTCGTTGTGGTGACGTGGCGGCCGGGGGTGCGTGGCAATCGGGGGCGCGCCGTCGTCGCATCGTTGGTTTGTTGGCGGTGGTCATGATCAGGGGTGCGTGGCGGTCAGGGGTGCGCCGCCATCGCGTTGTTGTTCTGCTGGTGGCGGTTGTCGTGGTGAGGTGCTAGTGGGGGTGCATGGTGGTCTGGCGGCGGTCGTGGTCAGGGTTGCGTGGCGGTCAGGGATGTGCCAAGTCGTGTCGTTGGTCCGCTGGTGGCAGTTGTCGTGGTGACGTGGTGGTGGGGGTGCGCCGTCATCACCTCGTTCCGGGGGTGCATTGTCGTTGCCTCGTTCGGGGGGCCGTTGTCGCGTTGTTGGTCCGCTGGTGGCAGTTGTCGTGGTGATGTGGCGGTGGGGGTGCGCCGTCGTCGCCTCGTTCCGGGGGTGCGTTGTCGTCGCCTCATTCGGGGGGCCGTCGTCGCATTGTTGGTCCGCTGGTGGCAGTCGTCGTGGTGATGTGGCGGTGGGGGTGCGCCATCGTCGCCTCGTTCCGGGGGTGTGTTGTTGTCGCCTCATTTGGGGGGCCGTCGTCGCATTGTTGGTCCGCTGGCGGTGGTCGTCGTGGTGACGTGGCAGTGGGGGTGCGTGGCGGTCAGGGGTGCGCCGTCGTTGCCTCGTTCCTGGTGCTGTCAGTGGCAGGGGGCGCGTCGACGCACCTTCGGGGCTATCCCCCACCCGGGGTCTGCCTTGCTGACCCTTCTGCCCCCTGTGTTGCGGCGGTGCGTCGCGGTGGCAAGTTGTTCGCTCGTGGTCGTCGTGACAGGTCGGGCTGGTCGTGGGTGCGAGGCAGCGGCGGGGAGGGTTGGGCGGCGGTTGCGGGACGGAGCGATGGTGGTGGTGGGAGTGAAAGGGATGAAACAAACAAATTTGATTGCTGACGAACAAATTTGTTTGTTGATGGTGGCTGTGGTGGTCGCGAGGTAATGAGTTCGAGTATAGTTATGTGTACCACAACGGCAGGCTGGTGCAGTGGATAACTGCGCCAACTTGTTGATTAGTCATCACCTCCCGGAGGTCCTGTGTTCGACTCTGCATTGTCTTAAATATATTTTATTAAAATATAATTGAAGGTGACCCGAGTCCTAGGACTCCTAGGACTCCGATCGGACTCCGATTGGAAATTCCGATCATACTCCAATCGGAGTCCCAGTCCGATCTGATGTCTGATCGGACTTTTGTGGCTGTACATCGGACTCAGACTGGAAAAATCAGGGGATTCTCTTATATAGAGTCCTATCTGGTTGTCCGATTGGAGTCCTAGGACAGTCCTAGGACTCCTAGGAGTCTGATCGGACTCCAATCGGAATTAGTGGGGGAGTGTAAAGACCTCTTCAGTGTGGAGGTTGATTGCGGACGTCATTGTCGGCTTCGGCTCCCCAATTGACGACTCAGCACATTCAGTCCTGTGCTACAAAATTACAACATCCGGCCACCACTTAGGTGGTTTTACTACCTCTAAGACCACGTAGCTTGGGAGGAAGAGCGCCAACGCTTCATAATTGTGATTCATCTTGCAAGGCGGTGATGCAAGTTCGACTCTTGCCATGGTCAATGCACAACACTTTCACATTTTTGTTGCTTTCGGTGTGGTTAATTGCAGAGATCTGTCTTGGCCCCGGCTCTTTATCAGCAGCTGGTGCCGACCCAGCACGTTTGGCCCTGCACCACAGAATTAGGACTTCAGGTGGCTTTCCTCCACTTTGAGGCCTTGTAGCTGAGGAAGATGAGTGCCGGGTCTTCATCGAGTACCCTCGCTCTCTCTCCATCTTCACCTTGGTCCCAAGTCATGTTATCTCACGATATGGTTTCTTGAGTTGATTGGAGAATTTAGCGACTACATCGCCCTTGGCAATTGAAATCCATGATTTCGGCAAGCTGTCCCCCACTAAAAATGAGCCCCTTGAGCAATTAAAACTGGCAAGCGCAACACATCCCTGACCCACATTCATGCCCAGCCCGCTCCCCCACCCCCGGCAATCCCAGCCACCGACCAGATCCCCGCCCCTGGCAATCCACCCCGCCAACCGATCCCTGCCAGCCCACTCCCATATCCCATCCACCGACCCCTGCCCCACCCTCAAGCCCTACCCTTTCAATGACCTACTCACTCCCGCTCACCCTATTACCCTATCACTATACTTATCCTGATCACATCTGCTCACCGGTTTACAACCACTACATGTAGACGTC